TATATATATATCTCAAGTATAAATTTTTTATATAAAATTTTTGTATTAATTGACATTTATATCAAGTACATCAATATCGAGAAAACTAAAAGTTAGCATCTATTAGACATTAGATATTTATGAAAGTATGATCTGCATATATTTCTTGAAGGATTTATCATGTGAACATGTGCCGTAGTTTAAAATAAATTTCGTCGAATAAATCAGCGATATAAACGAAGGAATAAAATGCCATTTTCAAGAGTTATTAATTTATGCTCGATTTTCGCAGAGTCTAATTCCATTCCGGTCACGAGTTTATAACCTTTGTCGAGCTTTTGATTCGAACTTTGATAAAAACATGGGAATGTTCTCGGCACGCGTTTTATATTGCGCTTCCATCTTCGTTCGATAAACTTTTCTCAAATTTAAATGCGACAAATTTTAATCATCCCGGCAATTCGACAGAAAGCTTTTCAATTTGCAACGGCACGAAAAGAAAGATGACAGTGCGATCCAAAAATATATTATCGATTATCTTGTTTTTTCGAGTTAATTTAACATTTAGAGTATTTTCAAAAATAATTTAAATATATAAATTCATCGAATTTATTTGTGCCATAGTTAAATACGACTTGTACAAATAATATAAACTATTGCGATATATATGAAAATCTGCAGATACTGATCTACTGTACTTAATATACCAAGAGAAATCATGAAAATTATGCAAATTAAATTTGATCTTTCGTAAAATATTTATATTCGATCCGTTTTTTAAAAATTTATTATTCAAATGTGATATAATTAGCAAATTTTTGAAATGTTAACAAGATATGTATTGATGATGTGCATGAAAGCTTTAATGAATAAAACAAATTGATTTCAATAATTTGTACGGCAAACTGGTTTTGGTTAACGCGGAAATTGATTTCAATAAATTGAATGGCAAATCGGTTAACGAAAATTTGATTTCAGATTCATTTATACGTTTAATTCTAGAAGTTATAACGCGAAGATAAATAGAGATTTCAAATTAAACTGTCACTAAAGAAGTTCGTGACGAGTTCGTATTTATTCAGAAATGCCAACGATCGAATCGCGTTAATAAATTTACGATTACCCGAAGAAAATTTTTGAGGCGTATATCATCGACACATATCTTATACGACTGCAAAATTGACTCATTAAATTCTCATGGCGATTAAATGCAACTTCTTGATATCATTAAAAACTAGAGATAAATACCTTGTACATACGATCAACTTAGCGATGTAATCAAGATCACAATCCATGTAATTTATAAATAAATGGACATTAAAAAAACTTAATACTTTTTTTTTTAAATAATATTATATATCACGGTTTATAATCAATGTATTCAGGAAATACAGATATCTTTTATGTAACTATATAAAATTAAATAAAATTTTTAAAATCAGGATATCGGTATAAAGATACTAAAAAATCTTTACTATATCCAATATAAATATGATAATCAATATTTTTTATATACAATATACATAATAAAGACATATGTTCAAATAATAATTAAATATAAGTAAACATAGAGAAAGCGAAATTAATATTTATTGATAAAAGTGAAACATTGCGGCTTCTATGGTTTTATTTCGCTCACCTAACGATTCATTAGCGTTGTGATTGTTAAATATTCGCGCATCGTGCAAAGAAAAAAAAAGGAAAGCAAACGACCGCGCTTGATTCGAGTAATCTTCCCTCAAGGTTGGAGCGACGAAGAGAATTCCACGAGAGAAAAAGAAGTAAAAGGGAAATCAAGACGTATCGCGCGACGGTGAGAGCGAAAGCGGCCGTGCTGCTTTGACGATTTTTCTCGCCGCGGAAACGTACCAAGGTTACGTGGACGCTTTGTTGCGTCTCGCGCCTCAGGGCCGATTTCTCACGCAACCCGTTACATCGAATCGCACCGCGAAACTACACCGCTTTTACATAATAATATGAACGACCGACGAAAATCTGATGGGCGTAAATCCGCAATCATTTATCATTCATGTCGTTCGCGAACTCTTTTTTTTTTTTTTGTATTCGAGAAACATTTAAATGATAATATTTGTGACTGTTTCCGTTCTTTTAACTTCTTTAAGATAAACTTTGAAAGAGAGGAGAGACTTATCTATATGAATTATCTTAAAATAGATAAAACTTGTGTAAGCAATTGACCGTTTGTCACATATACAAATTACAAATAAAGATAAAAATAGAATGAGTAAACTGTGGTGAGAGGGCAATTTCTCTCGTGAAGAAAAAAGTGAAAGATATATAGAATAAAATTCTTTGAGTGGTATAGTTTTTTCTCGAGAAAAAGTTTCAAGTTGAACGTAATGTCCGTTTATTTGATCATGTGTCGATACTTGTGTGTCTATCGACTATCAAAATAGTTCTTACACATCTAACTTTAGAATCTGTTTACATGACAATACACACCTATCACACTGCGACACCGATATCGTTGTCAGTTCACTGACCTTTCAAAATAGCAAGATACAGCAATCGCGAATACATTGAAACTTTTCTGAGACTAAGAGTTTGTAACAGTAATTCTTCAAGTGTAATTGTTTGTGAAAAAAAAAATGGGTGCAAAAGCGCGTTATATAATCAGTATAAATAAATATTGAAAAATCAATGCCAAACCGGTGAAAAAGATTTCATGTGTTTTTTTTTTTTTTTCTTCACAAGGAATTATCCTTTTGCCGAATGTATCACAAATTACTGGACACTGTATATATAAGAAGCTTTATCGTTAGGCGACAGGAAACCTTTTCCTCGGTATCTACTTCAGTTATAGTTCCCAGGGCTCTTTTCGTCCTTCTCTCGCATACATCTCGGCCCGTAATCTCCCCGCGAACAGTAGCAGCCGATTTTACGCCGAACCTCCCGCTAAGATCGTAAAAGCGCGCGCCGGAGACGGAATCCGAGCGTAACCGAGGCAGTTTTTTTTTCCATATACACACCGCTTGTATGTACGCACTCTGCAAGAGTGTATTACACACACGCACGCCAAGCGACGACGAAGACGCCGTTGATGGGAGGGAGGGACGTTTATCGCTCGCGATCCGTCACCTCCGGCGCACATGCTGAAGAAATTAAGATTTTTTGTCCGGTTTCCCCGAACGAGTCGGGCGTTTATCGTCGTTTCGGAATCGTCGTCGTTCCTGAGACGAAGACAGAAAAAAGAGGCGAAAAAAAAGCCTGGAAACCGAGAGACGGCGCGGACGCGCCATTATATTGCGCCGGTTCATCCTTGGAATTCACGGCTGATGGAAAGTTTTGCTCTTGTATAGATTTGTATAGATTTACTCACCAGCGGGGCCCGCGCTGGCGATCTTTAATACCGTTGTTACCGGATCCTGAGCTATTTGACGGGATAGGAACTGCGACACTACGCACCTATAAATAAAAAGAATATAAGTCTTGTGAAATATCAAGTACATATGTAAATAATTCTTTCAAAAACGTTGCAACGTTAAGGGATATAAAATTTCAAAGATCTGAGAATGATTCACATAAATCCTACGAATCTAACGAGAGTCAGATGAAAAAAGCGCTGCGAGATCTAAATATTTTTACTCGTCTGTATATTCGACAACATCTCGACGATAAACAGCGTATGTAAAAAAAGAAGGTTCCGTGATCCCGAAAAATCGCGCGCGCAACATGTAAATAACGTATACAGACGCGACATTGAACGTCATCGTCGAGAAAAACGTACGATGTAAAAAAGTGGAACCCGCTTCACAAAAATCTATATACGAAAAAAAAAACAAACAAAAAAAAAAAAAAAAAAAAAAAAGACTGCACGTCCGATACGTCGTCACATGCCGGGCTTACAACGAGATCTCCCTCTCTCGAGAGGTTATATCTTTTCGAACCGGAAACTGGTCTCGATAGCTCACCTCGTGCTCGTCAAAAGGCGTCACTCTCGCCGTTCGCAGTTAACCTTTGAAGGTTAGGTTTTCGCCGGTTCGTTCGAGACAGCCGGCACGTGCCGGGCGGTCAACAATTCCGGGGATTCCAAGTGTTTGCGACGATGAGACTCGCGACGTCGTCGATCGTTCACGCATGCGAGTCCGTGCAAATACGAGCACACGCGTTTCCCGGACACGATAATTCACGTACGCGAGAAATTTGACTTTTCGAACAACGATCGTTCTCTCTCTCCTACCGGCGCGCGCTCCGTACACACCCGACGCCGCTCGCGCGCGTCTTCCCGCTAACTTCGGCCATATTCGGCTGGCTTCGGCAGCGCTCGGCTCGCCGGCACGAACGGTGGCGACGGCGCGGCGGCGGCGGCGGCGGCGGCGGCGTCACGGTATTGCGTAGGTGGCTGTGTCTCAATATAGTCGATTTATTCAAGGGGAAGGGCGATTTATGTCTTGTGATTTAGGTAAGCAAAAATGTGAAAATTCTGTATTTCAATAAATCTACCTTTAATTTCGATGTCTCGGATATCATGTGTTGTACGCCAAGCAAAGAAAGAACGATAAATCTCGACAGAATCTTACGACATTCTTACGGAGGACGTTAAAAGGTTGCGTCCATAAAGAGTGAATTTCGCAGCGGAAAGCGCCGTTTCTCTTGCAGAATAATATTCCTCGATCCGAGAGTAACGAAAAATAATGCTTTCGAACGTGTGAGCTTTATAATCTCCGCGAAATTCAGAGCTTGCGGCTCTCGATCTCCGAGTTCACGGCTCGACATTGCACATCTTGTTCGAGCATACTTCACGTCGTTTTGTCCGCGGGTTTCGCGCGCGTTTCTCATTCAAACCGCTGCTTCGAGGCTAGCGCTACAATAGATTCCCACCATTTCACATCCGTTGTCCCATAAAATCGGAACCGTTTTCAATATCTCGCGAACGACAGCATCTTATAGGGATCTCTTCAAGATCCTTCTACCTATAGATCTTTCGTCAATCTTTATTTTCATTTGCACGTGTCCAAATAATTGTAAGTACAAAACAAAGTTAATTATTTGATATATTTAGAATATTATTCGTGTAGGTTAATTTTAATAAGATTGAAAAAGCTACATTAATGCAAATTTAGGATAGAATTTTGCTTGACTATAATCTCGCTTAGGATATTTTGGTTTTTTATAGATTACTAATTTATGAAAAAAAAAAAAAAAAACATTCTTTCATTTATGTTATCTCGTTAGAAAAAATAAAGAATTTCGCGAACGAAAAGTCCGGAAATGCTTTCGAGTCAATATGCTATTTCAGTTGACAATTTAATTCATTGTGATAACATTTCTTTTCAGGAATTTCAACGAAGTTGTGTTGCTACGTCGCTGATAGAACGCTCGATCGAGTTTCTGGACTTTTTCCACGGTTTGAATATTGTGCATCTACATTCACATCAAGTAAGTGAATTGGCAACGGATTATAATCGATTGCATGCGGAAAAATATTTTGCTCTCTCTTTTCTGTTCGCGTACGTGCTTGTGCGCGTGGATCTGGAATTCCGGAGGTTTCGTCGACAATCTTTTACGCGATCATAGATCGATAAAAATTCGTATCGTCAAATATTAATCAATCGTCAAACAATCGTCAAATATTAATACACTGATATGTATTCTGTCTTTTACATTATATATTTTTATATACATAAATTATATAATTTAGAGTAAATAATAAAATCTTTATCTCGTATTACAAAAACCTAATTTGATAAATAAATAAAAGATAAAGTGGAAATTTCAATGAGTCGATACTTTAAAGTTACGTATAAGGTTTTCAAGATGTTGATTGAAAATATATTTTTCTCTGACAAACTTTCAGAAAAACTAGAATATATTTTAAGAATACTTTTATGTATACACACGAATGCATTTTGTGCGAAGGTTTTATTGTAAAAGCTTGATGGTCGCGTTGGGAATTTAACTTCATCTGACCTGTTTTGAATAAAAGGGCTCAGCTTTACGTTAATTTTTTACAGTGCACTCTCACATGTATACTTTTTTTTTGCAAAACTTATCTAAAGCGCTTTACGTCCCTCTCTTTCTCTCCTTTCATTTCGCATTTAATCCCGACAAACACAAAGAGTCAATACTACTAACAACCCCTCGCTTAATTAACTCTGCTTAGCAATTCCCCTTTCCTCTAACCAACTGTAATATAGATAACGAGACAAAATTCATTCAAGCATAACCTAAACAAGGATATGTAATCGTGTGGGATAATTGTGAAAATATATCAATTATTTTATTATTTAATTATCTCACATAAAAATATACTTTCTAATTAAATATTTCACTAAAAATTAAGTTATATTTTTGTATTAAGAATTTACACATTAGATTTACAAAAATAAAAATAAATAAAATTATATTAATATAAAAATTATAAACAATAGGGGAAAAATTTCAATGGAAAAATTGAGTAATTAAATAATTAAACATATTTGTAGAATTATTCTTGTACTATGTATTGCCAGGCTTATGCCTAAACAATGACAATATATATAATAGATCACATAGCGATATCCGGATGTTACTAAGAAAGGATATCGTGCAATCTTACAAAAAAAAGAGCAGCTTTTTACTTGGTAACAAGTTGCAATTGGTGCAAGGTTGCAAGATAGTGGAAAATACGAGAGTGCGTGATCACATTTGTGCTGCAATAAAATAACGATACCCGATAAAAATAATCACCTTCATGAAATATATGCAGATATTGCGCATTTACGGAAGGAGAACGCGAGTCGCAATAACGAAATAAAAGAAAGCTTAAAATGCATTTTCATCCGCGCTCTCCCGATATTATTGTTATACATAAGAAACGAGTTCCCGTTTGGTGACGAGAGTGAGAGTAATCCTGCAACTTTCGTTTATTCCCGCCTTGGCCTCGTGATGTCATAAATATGACCGCGTATCGTAATCCGAATTGGCATTCTCGCGGTGAAAGGTAAAGTAAAGGCGCGATGAAGTAATGAGGTCAACGCTGGAAACGGAAATATATACGGAAACTGTTTTTCAGAGTTACTTAAATGCGAAATTTTGCTTTTATTTATAAAAGCTAAAAAACTGTTCCATGTTACATTTAAATATGTAGAATTTTTTTATAGCGAGATATAGGAATTATGAGAGAAAAAAGAAACGAAATATATAATCAACTTTGTACTAAGAATTATATAATGTTCGACATACAGATTGTAAAAGTTTATCCTGCAACGGAACGATTTCTCGTCCTACTTCAATGAGTTTATATTTCATTTAATTACAGCGGACTTAATTTCTCTAACGTTATTCGTTTTAACACTGATCGATTACGCGAGAGTAACGCTAGTGCTCTATCGGTTTCCGAGAAGATTAAAATTTAATTCACGAACCGTCGTCGTAAAAATAACGCGAGCAAACTGATCTTCAGAGATAGATTCGAGGATTATGTCGGTCAATCTAATCTTGCTTCAAATACTTCCTATTCAGAATTAATTTTTGTCAATTATACTAGAAAATATATATCATGATCATTGATATATAGATATGAATATAGTCTGATATCGTATTCAAAGTGGTTTAATTAAAGAAATATGAGTATAATTGCGGCGAGATAATCCAATTAAATAATTTAGTATTTAATAGCGTATAACATATAAAAATAAAACGTAGGAAGAAGATAAATTTGAAATAGGAATGTGTGTGATTGACAATTATGACATTATTATTGAACTTGGATCGAAGGGAGAAAAGGATTTGCTTCTGCGAACGATTATGGTGCTGTTACGCTAATGAATAACGGCGTTGAACATACGCGCGTAATTAATGACGGTGCGCGTGTCGTCGTGCGATTTGCACAGCTAATAGTTTCCCGTAAAACCGGTATCCGATCGAAGTCTCCCCCTCTGGCCCTTTCCCTGCGCGTGGATATTTTAGCACGCCGTGCATCAGGTTGCATCCTGTCGACAATTTCCTTCCGTACGCGACTCGCGTTCCGGTTTAACGATCCCCCTCAAGCCGGAAACGGCGCGCGCTACGTAAGACACCGGATGTTGTTTCGTACGTAAAATTCTAAGTGTCGGAAATCTCTCGCGGGCGAAACGACCGAAACGTAGCTTTGATCGGCCGATCCGATCGTGAAAGCGATCGCGAGCGTGCCGGCGAATATTATTATCGCGTAACGAATCGCCCGGATATTCCGGTTAGGCGCTGTGAGAATTCTTCATCTATGGCACGCGAGAGAGAATTATCTCTCCTCTATCTCGCAAGTGACTTCCGAGTAAAGCAACCGGTGGTTGCGCCAACGAGGTCACGCCGCGACACCTCGCCCGTTTTCAACCCTTTGAGACACTGATGAAAGGCGCGAGATGAGGAGGGAATCGCAATGAAGTCGTCGCAATTTTTCATCCGGAACATTTATACACAATGGACGGGCGGGATATTAATGAGTTGTCCGCGCTGTTTTCCTTTGATCCGTGAAAATTAACGGGACATTTGTTTTCTAGTGGCAGGTTGACAAATTGCGAGGGTGAAAGTGAAGGTAGATAAATGACAAAATCAAACGCGTTAATGTAATGTATCCTATAGAAGTAATATATCCGTTTGACGTAAATGATGAAAAATGAAAGAGATGTAACTTTCTCGATATCTATACAGCATACTGTAATTATTATTCATTTTGATATATATTAAAGTGCGGAGTTTTTCAATGATTAAACAATTGCGATAGTTCAAATTTCGTGTTTGGATACGAATTTTTGGAATCTAAAGAATAAAAATTCATTTGTCTGCTTAGGTAAAATGGCAAAGTAAAATTAGACAATATATTGCAGTGCTCGAAATTTTTCGGCGATCAAAGCTCGAAACTTGAACGTGAAACTTCAAATTCAAATTTGAAATTGCTTGTGCATATTTTGATTCTGAAAATGTATTTTGAATCTAAATTTGGACAAAATAACAAAGTTGGATGACATGAGAAGAAAAAACATATATTTATTAATAAATTTATTTTTTGTAATAAATCTTATATATATTTTAGCTTTAAATTTTTTCTTGATATTGGATTATCAATAATCGAATCTTTGAATATTGCAATTAAATAGTTCGACTACTATTCGTGTTGTGTTATAAATTATAAACTGTTAAAATTTGAAACTTTTGAATGTTTTAAAAAGTTTGACTATCGCAATCCGTCTGAGTTCGAGCTTTAGTTATATTTACGTCGATGTCTAAGTGGAAAATTCATTCGTTTAATAAGGTAATTTGTATGTCGTAAAACTCTCCTTAAAAGGCTGGCGCGTCTAGATCGAGAACGACATATTTATATTGGCATGGATATCTAGGCCAAGTAAAACTGGTTATGGAAAAGCCTTACCCTGACGCTGCTGCTTTTCTTTCGGAAGATGACCAAACTGGTTTTGACCTCGGCAAAGACGGCCTTCTATGCAGCTACGCGATTGAACGTTAAGATCGCGATGCATTCTTCGTCTCGTATATGCGAGTTACGTTTTCGTCGATGGAAAAACGCGAAAGCGTTGAAATAATATACGGAAAAAACAAACAATGAAAATGTATGAATAAGCAAAAAGCATTCATGAACTGGTTTGAATATCGGGATGAAAATATTAATCGTCGTTCCCATGAAAATTTATAACAAAGCGGTTGTATTTTTACTAAAATAATAACTTTGCAGTTGCACACTCTATGAATATTGCTGTAAATTATCTTTCATTGCAATTTTATCCTATATAACGATAATATAAATTAAATTAAAGAGTTACGCTGGTAGTTTTGGAGCAGCTTGAATAATGAACGTTAATAAATATTAATCTATACAATGAATATTACAGTGAATATATGAAATATTCAAAATTGAGTTTTAGTAATTGTTTTTAAAGAGAAGAGATTCTATAGTATGTACAATTATATATCTTTTTACTTTTTTTTGCAAAATAGTAAAGATAGTGAAAATATTAACGATTTCTTGCTCAATGAACCATTTATGTATTTCTAATTAATAGTTTATCTTAACAATTAAAAAAAATCCATAAAAATATATATTCAATTTATGAACAAATTTCAAAAATTATATTGCGCTAGTAATCGCGTATATAAAAAAAAACCTTGCATTTTTACTTATATTTTTTTACATATAAAAAATGCGTAAATAGAGCGGTATATTATATATATACATATTTGGTGTGTCGTTTATAATTCCAATTTAATTGAATTCAATAATTTTCGGAGTTAATTCGGATCAGTAAAGCAAGCGGTTAATACTGGGTGACACAAAAGTACTATCTCTTCCGAGATACGAACGTCCTCAGATTCACGTCTTCAATTGAATTCAGCCAAGGACATGTGTACTGGAAGCGAACGACGACGCCGACGAATCCTGGCTGGGACCCGAGTCCGGACTCCCGGCA